TCCCTGCCCCAAATTCACGTTTACTACCCATTTGTTCACAATACCCCATCTCTCCTCCGCACTTCCCCCTTCGCCCCTCCCCTTCTCCGCCCGCGCGCTCTCACCTGCCAGCAGAGATTGCCTTGGTCATACGCGTGGAAGGGCTTCACGTAGTCTGCACCGCGCCCAAGGGGAGAGAAACGGGGGGCAAGTGGGGGGAGGGGAGGAGGGGGGATGGGGACCACAGCAGACGGGACCGAGGAGCATGTGAGGTGTGAGGGGTGGATGGGAAGAGCAGCTGTTCATGAAGTTGACTATGGGCCATAAAGTCGATCTGGCACTTTCTAGTCGATCTGCAATTAGCGGACTATCGTGACAACTGGCGGAGTGGGAACGAGGAGAGCTGTTGAACCTCCAATCGATCCACACAGCGGAATCACCCTCGCGACTGGCTAGCGAGAATCGCGCGGCGTGTAAGCCGTGCGCGGCGCTCACATTCAGGGTACACGATGTCCTTATTCTCCAGCGCCTCCTTCTCCGCCACCAGCTCCGGCGACTGCTGCAGCTCCTCCACTATCTTGCGCCACGGCACGCCGCTCTTCTCCGCCGTGCTGCGCGCGCCGAGCGAAGCAGCGGGGGAGCGCATTTGTGACGTAATGGGGTGCGGGGAAGAGGGGACAAGGGGAAGTTAGGGGGGAGGAAGGGGAAAATGAGCATTTAAGGATAGTTGCGGCGGATAGACGCAAGCGAGGTAGTAAATGGGAAAAAATGTAGTGAGACGTGGTTAGCGGAACGCGGCGTGTGACGCACGCGTGCGCGACCAAGGGGCATCGAACGGCTCTCGGGGCCGTCGCCACGACGCAGCACAAGGGCAGAGCTTTCAGGGTGAGTCTGACAGCGTGGGTGGAGAGAACGAGCGCACGCTTCCACCATCGGAAGCGTATCAATCACCGTAGCAGCATGACGGCACTAACGCTAACGAGAAGAAAGAAGTGACGTAGCTCGTGATGAAGGACGTAGAAGGTTCTGACAGGTCCAGACTTGGCCGAGATACGAGTGGGGCTATTCACGAGCAAATATATGTTTCTTCCTGTGCCAAACCTGTGGCGCCGTTCTCGGTCAGCTACAGCTACAGCATCACTAGTGTTGCGGCAACACCTAGGCCCAGAACCCCTTGCGGTCGGAAATACGGAACGCTGAAAGCAAGGTCCTGGCGCAAACCATCCGTTCACATGCATATCACAGTCACCACCACTACCACCATCATCGCCATCTCCATCATCATCATCGGGCATCACCAGCAGCAGCAGCAGCAGTAGCAGCAGCAGGGCGCACCTCATGAGCATCTGGCGCGCGCCGATCTTCATGAGGTCGTAGAGCGGCTTGAACCCGATCACCGCGTTCACCATGCCCGAGAACTTCGTCTCGCCCGCCCACTCCGGCGCGTCGCGCTCCCCCTCCGCGTACTCCGTCGGCGCCATGGCGGCTCGCGCTGCACCGGCGCTTCTGTGCGCGCTCCGTTGCGATCTGCTTCTGCTGCGGAGAGCCGCGACGCCGACGGCTGTGATCGACGAGGAGCTGATGTTTGGGTGACATCTGTGGCCGGCAACAGCAGCCGCATGGATGGGCGCGGCGAGTCTGGGGCACGGAACGCACGCGGAGGCGACGGCAGCGAGCTCCATAGCGGCGAGTTAGTGAATGGAAGCGGATTAGTGGAAGCCTGGAGACTCGGCGAGTCCGGGACACGGTATTTCGTACCCGAAAGATAGATATCTCGCAACTATGGACGTCGTCAGAAGAGTTGCCTACGATGCAAATGCCGATATTTTAGACCGCTCGAGTTATGCCTGCCTTCCTCCTCTCCTGTGTGGCAGATTCACCCTTCAAAATTCCCAAGGCGTGACCCTCACCCGTTGTGCGTTGCCACGGTGTGCCTAGGTTCGGTTCGGTGTTCAGAAGCAAATCCCAAGCCCGAGGCCATCCCATTCGTCCGAGGCGCGAGAAAGTGGGACTCTAGATTCGCCCGACTGAGCTGGCGAGGTCGCTGTCGTCGCATTGGCGGAGCCACTCCCGAGGAGCTTCGCCCATGCTGTGGAGGCTTCCAGCGCGGACTGTGCGCGTTGGCTTCTTGGCTCTTACTGGACGATGCTTTCGTCCCTGGCCGAGGTCGGATGCGTGTCACGTGGCAGTATCTGAGATAGGGCTTCTTAAAGCCAGCAGCTAAAATAGTGAACCCCCCCTTCTAGTTGGGTCCACTTGAAAACACAAGATCGTTACGAACGTTTGAAAAGTTGACGGCCTGTGCGTTTTTACTTTTTTTTCATCCCAGACGAGTCTTGATCTGAACGGGAAACATGAGGAACTTGTTTACAAATCTTATTGGTGGCGACTTTCACCCACATTCGTATGCGAATTTGGCGCAAGGCTGCAATCCCACATTCAACATAGCAGCCGTCGTAACTTCACAAGAATTCCCATATGCAAAAAACAGCGCACACACAGGCAAAATCCAGCGCGCACAGGCAAAAACTCGCAAAATCATGCGCGAACACTGGCATGATCAAGCAAAATCCATGGCACACACAGGTGAAATCAGGCGAAGAAGATATAAATAAAGAAATTAATGATGTACGAAAAGAGAAAGGGCGACGGGACGGTTGATTGGTCGACGGCGAAGAGAAGGGACTGGGGACAAGGGGGCTGACGGGAGAGGAGGGGAGAGAGGGGGAACGACGGGATGGGAGGGGAGAAGGGAAAAACGACGGGATAGGAAGGAAGAGAGGAGGAACGATGGGATGGGAGGGGAGAGAGGAAGAAAGACGGGATGGGAGGGTAGAGCGGAGGAACGACGGGATGGGAGGGTAGAGAGGAACGACGGGATGCGGGGAGGGAAGACAGATTGTGAGGGGAGGGAGGAAGGGCGCGGAGAGGGCATTGCATAGCAAGAGCGAAGGGCGGATTGGCCGACGATGGAGAGCGTTTCAGAGATTAATGATCGGGGAGAAGAGACGAAAGGCGATGGGAAGGCATTTCGGGACGAGCACGAGGGCGACGAGGTCGGTGATGGGAAGGGAGAGAGGAAGGGCGCGGGGAGAGCGTTTGAGTGCGAGCGCGAAGGCGACCAGGCAGGCGATGGGAGGAGAAAGTGGGAGGGGGACGAGAAGGCGTTTCGTGGCGAGCGGGAAGGCGATGGGGTGGGTGATGGTGGGTGGGAGAGGAATTTGCGACGGCTGCATCTAAGGCTACGAGAAGGGAGGGGAGAGAGCAAGAACGACAGCAAGGGAGGGGAGAGAGATAGAGCGACGGTAAGGGAGGGGAGAGAGATAGAGCGACGGGATGGGAGGGGAGAGAGATAGAGCGACGGAAAGGGAGGGGAGAGAGATAGAGCGACGGGAAGGGAGGGGAGAGAGATAGAGCGACGGGAAGGGAGGAGAGAGAGATAGAGCGATGGGATAGGAGGGGAGAGAGATAGAGCGACGGGATGGGAGGGGAGAGAGATAGAGCGACGGAAAGGGATGGGAGAAGGCGATTGCAACGGAAAGGGAGCGGCGAGAGAGAGAGCGACGGGAAGGGAGAGGAGAAGGCGATTTGTTGAGGAAAGGGAGCGGCGAGAGAGAGAGAGAGCGACGCGCAGGGAGCAGCGAGAGAGAGAGCGCGACGAGAAGGGAGCGGCGAGAGAGAGAGCGACGGGAAGGGAGGGGAGAGAGCAAGAGCGACGGGATGGGAGGGGAGAGAGATAGAGCGACGGGATGGGATGGGAGAAGTCGATTGCAACGGAAAGGGAGCGGCGAGAGAGAGAGCGACGGGAAGGGAGAGGAGAAGGCGATTTGTTCAGGAAAGGGAGCGGCGAGAGAGAGAGCGACGCGCAGGGAGCAGCGAGAGAGAGAGCGCGACAGGAAGGGAGCGGCGAGAGAGAGAGCGACGGGAAGGGAGGGGAGAGAGCAAGAGCAACGGGATGGGAGGGGAGAGAGATAGAGCGACGGGAAAGGAGGGGAGAGAGATAGAGCGACGGGAAGGGAGGGGAGAGAGATAGAGCGACGGGAAGGGATGGGAGAAGGCGATTGCAACGGAAAGGGAGCGGCGAGAGAGAGAGCGACGAGAAGGGAGAGGAGAAGGCGATTGGTTCAGGAAAGGGAGCGGCGAGAGAGAGATTTGCGACGGGAAAATCGCGAGGGTGATTGGAGGAGAGGGGTAATGGAGATGACGGTAGGAGGGCGACGGGACGTCGACGGGACGGACGACATGATCGCGACGCGACGGTCGATGGGACGGCGTCAGGATGGTCAATGGGACGGCGTCAGGACGGTCGATCGGAACGGGAGGGCGAGCGAGATGAGATAGGAAGGCGGCGAGAGGGCATTCGAAACGGCACAAAGTACTACACAACCATGCCAGCTTCACTACGCGTCTAAATTGAAACAACAACGGCCTAAGTTGACGGTTCGATGGCTAGACATGCTACACATAACTAAGAAGCTGAGATGTATGATCGGAAGAACTAGTAGTTGTTCACCCAGCCAGACCCAACTTGAACCCCAAGCTGGGCCCAAAATCGCAAGGACGTGCATGAGCGATCGCAATGCTAGTGTTGTGCAGCTTCCAAAACTGATATGCGACGCCTGACGTGCTGTGTTCCTTCTTTTGGTTTTGGCGGGAACCAATCAGATGTGTTCGATCTGCAAAAAACGCTCTCAATGAAACACTGGAAACTTGTCGGTTTGGTTCCAAAATTGTTTCGCACGGCAAGCCCTCTTTCAAGTTGGCGTTGGGTTCACTATTTTGCATTTCGGTTTTAATACAGTTACTGGAACAACTTCACTACCGTATATGCAGTTCTAACAGCCCACACATCAAAACAGCCACCACCACCACATCAAATATTTATGGGCAGATGCAGTCCACAAATATAACTGGTGCGCTTCTTTAAAGCGTCAGATGAAGCAAATACAATTATATTCCACATTGAACCTAATGATATTGCAGGCAGGCAGTCTTCACTAGGGTGATACCCTATACGGTAGTCAACCGTCTAGAATGTCTGTCCATCCTCCCGGCACTCTCCCTGCATCATCCCCCAGCAGTGCTGCCACTCCTGCCACCACAGAGGCGTGCACGCCTTGCACTACTGACACCGCCGATGCCCCTGCCAATGCACCCTCTGCCACACCCCCACCCACCTTGGTCCCTCCCACCACCAAAGCCCCTTCCCCCACCATCCTCCACAGAGGGCTTGGCTCCGCAGGTCCAGCTGCTCCGCTCTCCCTGCCAGCCTGTGCCACACTGCCAGCTGGCATGGATGCATCACCACTCACAGCTGCAGTAGCAACCCCCGCCTCACCTCCGCTGTTTGTTGCCGGCACGGCATCACCTGCAGCAGCAACAGGGTGTGCGGGTGCATGCATGGATGCATGCAGGCTGCTCACCAGCTGCATTGCTGCCGCAAGATGACGCTCCCCTTGCATGGTCCCACCAGGAGTGGCTGCATCGGTTGTGAGTGAATCAGCTGTGACTGCAGCAACCCTGTCCCTCGCTTGTCCATCCATTTTCCGTCTTTCTTCACCCTGTCCTCCTGCACTTGCAGCATCCAAACTGTCCCCATGCAACACAATCTCGCCTTCCTCCCCTGCTACGCTAGTCCTTTCTGCCCTATCCGCCACGGGCCCATGTGAGAAATGTTCAGCCGATGCAGCACCATCTGATGCACTGTCAGCAACACCGGTTCCACCACAGTCGCCTCTAGACGCACGCTGGCAGGCACACGAGGCATGCGCCCCTGCTTCACATGTCCCACTGTCGCACGCACTGCCACTTCCGCTGCCACTGCCACTGCCAGGGCCACTGCCACACCCACCGCCACCACAGCAGTTCCCAGCAGCAGTTCCCTTTCCGCCCCCACAGGCCCTGCCCTGTGCTGCACCTGGTGCGCCTGGCTCCCCACTCGCACAAACCCCTTGCTCCGTGCTGCCACCCTCTCCTCCCCTTGGTCCGATTGCCTCTCCTTCCTCTTCCCCAGTCCCCACAGTAACAGCAGCCAGGGCAGCTGTAACCACACGAGTGCTTGCTTCCTCTGCTCGCGCTCCCCCCTCTTCACCGCCCACCCCGCCCTCACTGCCCCGCCCTCCCCCTTCCCCACTCCCCTCCGCTCTCTGCCCCTCTACCCCCCCCACCTCCCCGCCCTGCAGCGCCATGGCGCGGGCAAGCTGCGCCATGCAGTGGCGGGGCGCGGAGGGCACGCGCACGTGGGATGCCACGTCTGGGGGCAGCGCGGAGAGCACACTGCGTGGGACGGGACGAGGGGGAGAAAAAATGACGAAGGGGGGAAGGGGTAATGGGGTGGGGATAACGGGGAGCGTGGTGGGAGAGGAGCGGAGGCAGAGGTCGGGGTGGGACATGGCATGAGGCGTGTTGCCGTAACCCTAACGCGTGCGAGTTGTAGAAAGAGCACGCATGGGGAGAGGTGCGGGGGTGTGAGGCATGGGGGGTGGGGGGTAGACGACGGGCCAGGGAGACAGCGCATCGGAGAGCGAAAAGGGAAAGTGACGCAAGGGGGATGGATGGCAGCGCAGAGGGACACCCGTTAGCAGGAAGCAGACGGTGAGAACACACACGACAGCACGGCACGGCATGACACGACACGTCATGACACACGGGATGACAAGGCATGGCACGGAGATGCTCCGCACCTGGCGAGTCCTCGGGCGTGCCCCCAGCGGAAACCGTGTGCGCAGCTCTCGCGGAACCCCGCGTTGAACCCCTCCTGCGCCGCCGCCTCCTTGCCCGCCGTTATGCCGTCGCGGTACCCCAGCTGCGCGCCGCGCCGCAGGGGCGGGGGGGTGGTGGGGGGAGGGGGCATGAGGGACGGGGAAACGAGAGGAGAAGGAAGGGTACGATGAGCGCAGGGGCGAGATGCAAATGCGCAGAAGGGCTTGCGCGCGGACCCCACACACTTCCGCAGCGAGTGGGACTTAAGCGTGCGATCGTGCGATCTTGCGAGAGTAAGAGCGTGCGCGCGCGGGTACCTTGACGAAGTTGTCGCGGCGAACCTGCGCCTCGCGGTCCCACTCCCTGAAGTCCGCGCCGCCTCCATCCACGTCATCGAACACGTCATCGTCCAGCATGGCGCGATCACAGCGGCGGATGAGCGCGATGCGGGGAGCGGAAAAAGTGCGTGAAGCGCGGAGAAAACGGGAAGAGCACACGTGCGGTGAGGGCGAGGAGGTGAGATTGGGAACAAGGAGAGATGTGCATGGGGGTGTGGAACAAGGTGGAAATTCAACTGGGAAGTGCTGAGAGAAAACGTGGAGGGGGTGTGCCCTGTTATAGCCCACAGTGGCAGCGATATAAGTTTCTAGAGTACACCGCATGCCATTTTCAGGCCTTACACAAATGGGTACTTCCACTCTCAAACTGTCAATCCTAATGAATAAACACTGGGAGCTAAAATAGACCCTCACCAATACCAACATATACATTTGATTCTTCCGCATTGCTCCCTGCCCCCCTATTGGTAAGGAGGCCGAGGACGGCGCACAAGGGGTTGCTTACTCAGCATCATGCTCTCCTCCATGCACAATCCCATATCCCCATCATCGTTCTCATCCCCTTCCCCCTCAAACTCATTCTCCTCTCTCTCCCCCCCATTCCCCACAAAATGGCCATTGCTTCCCACATGGGCCTTCAAGTCATTCATCCTCTCTCCATACCCATCCTCCACCTCCTCTGCATCTTCAACCCCCTCCCTAACACACTCCGAGGGCCGAGGAGAGGGCTCCTCCCACAGAGGGAAGCCGTGCTGGTTCCGGCTGCCCACAGACCACACCACACAGGTGCCCGTGCTGCCACCCGTGTCACACCTGCTTGCCCTCTCCTCCGGGCTCTGCTCCTCCCCGCACTCATCCACCCCAGTCCACTCCTCCCTTCCCTGCCCTCCCCGCTTCAGCCCCTCTCCCTGCTGCTGCTGCTGCTGCTGCTGCTTCTTGTGGTGCAGCAGGGACGCGTTCTCCCCATCACGAGCAGCAGGCACAGACGCACCCATGTGAGGCGAGTCAGTGGTGGGCTCCATCCCCGCTGCATGCCACCCGCCCTGCACCTCGCCGCCGCTTCTGCAGCTGCTGCCGTCCTCACACACCAGCGACCCACACACACTCTCCCCGTCCACGCACCCCTCTGCACCCACCGCCCACTCCGCTCCCTCCTCTTTCTCTTCCTGCTGCTGCCGCCGCTGCTGCAGCTGTGTGGCCACCTTTCTATCGCTCCCCGCCTCCCAGTCCCGAACCTCTCCCCCACCCGCCACATCGCCACTCGTACCTGCACCCTCCTCCTGCCCCTGCCACTGCTTGCTCCCTCTCTGCCTCCGCCACGGGCGCTGCCGCTGCCGCTGCTCGTGCTGCTGCTGCCTGGAAGCAGGGATGTCGTCACGATCATAGTCAGCAGAAGCTCGCTCTTTTTCTGCTCTCCCTCCACGTCCCACTGTCATACCCACACCTTCGCCACTCCCTTCTTGTGTCTCCTCCCCTCCCCCTCTTCCCTCCCCCCCCCTCCTCTTCCTCCTCTTCCTCCTCCTCCTCCTCCTCCTCCTCCTCCTCCTCCTCCTCCTCCTCCTCCTCCTCCTCCTCCTCCTCCTCCTCCTCCTCCTCCTCCTCCTCCTCCTCCTCTCCCTCCTTCCCTTCCTGAACCACGTCCCCCCACACCTCATGCCCCACCCACTGCCCACTCCCCCATTGCCCGCTCCCCCACTGCCCACTCCCCAGGCGCCCGCTCCCCCAGGTGCCGCTCCCCAGCCGGCCTGCCAGAGCGCCACTGCCCCACCGCCCACTGGCTGTGCGCAGCATCCCCACGCCCCTGGGAGTGTGCCCAACCACCCCCAACCCACCCACACCCAAACCCATACTCCCTCCCATGCCCCCCCCAACCCCACCAATGCCCCCACCTCCCCCAATGCCCCCACCACCCCCCATGTCCACCAGCATCATATCCACTGCACCTGACGCCACAGATGTGGCATCATCATCGCTCACAGCAAACCCGCCGCTCAGGATGCGCAGCAGCTCGTACTGCGCCCCGTACTCATACTCCACCCTCCTCCTCCTCCCACGCCCCGCCCCCTCCGGGCCCTCCCCCTCGCCCATCCCCCCCGTGCCCTCCACCCCGTGTGCACCTCTCCCCCGGGCATCTCCCCCTGGGGCGACCTGCCGCCCATGGTGGTCAACCACCACCACGTCCTCGCTCTCCCAGCTGCCGCCCAGGCGGTGCAGGCGCAGGCTCAGGGCGTGCGCCCACGGCTCCGGTGCGCCCTGCTGCCGCAGCCACTGCGCTGCCCGGTGCTGTGCCTCCTCCTCCTCGCTGTAGCTCCCACACTGCTCATGCTCCCCGCCGTCTCCCCCTTCCCCCTCTACCCCGCCCTCCCCATGGTCCGCCCCCTGCTCTCCCCCATGCCCCTGCGCCCTCCCTCCCCCCATGCGCATACACACAGCCTTGTTGCGCCGCAGCACCTCCTGCACCCATGCCTCGCTGTCCTCCCCATCCTCCTCCACTGCACCTTCCACCACTCGCTGCTCCCCTACCTTGCTGCTGCCACCAGAGCTGCCAATCTCGCCGCCCCGTGCAACCTCCAAGTCTCTCTCTCCGCCTCCCCCCTTCTCTCTTCTTCGCCCTCTTTCTCCTGCTGCCGCCTCCGACCACTCGTCACCGTGACACTCCCCCACATTCCCCACATACCCCGCAAGTCCCTCTGCCCCTGTGGGCGTTGCAGAGGCACTCGCAGAGTCACGCTGTTTCGCACCACCTGCTACTCCTCTCAAGGCTCCTCTTGCTCCCTCCCCGGCTGGCCCATGAGTTTGTGCTGCACGCAGCCCCATCAGCCGTGCACCTCGCGTGCCTCTCACACCACCACTGCCATCGCCACTGCCATCGCCACTGCCATTGCCATCGCCATCGCCAGGACCTCCCATCATCTCACGCGCCCTTCCCTTCTGCTTTCGCACTCCCTTCTTCCTGCCGCGCCCACCCCCACTTCCACCAGCAGCATCTGCAGCTCCCCGGCTGTTGTTGTTTTTCCGGGGTGGTTTACCCTTGGCAGCCATGTCTTCTTCCAGCCGTGCCAGCTGTGCTAGCACCTTGTCCATCCCATACACTCCCCTCGCCCCTCTGCCGCCCCACGCCCCTCGCTCCACCACACTCCCTTCCCCAGGCTCTACACCATCCTCCGCCCCTCCATCCGCCTTTCCCTCTCCAGCACCCCCTCCGCCCCTGCCCCCGCCCAGCCCCCTCGCCCCCTTGCCCACGCGGTGTCGCCCCCGACTGCCACTCCCACCAGAAGCAGGGGCGCTCGTGCTGTGCTCCCTGCGCCCCCTCGCAATCATAATCCCGCCCAGCACCATGGCCTTTGCCGGACCCTCTGCTGCATCACCCCCCTCACTTCCACTCCCCCCTCCCAACTCCCCACCCTCTCTTCCCTCACCCTCCCCCCCGCCGTTTACATCCCATGAGGCGCCTGTGCCTGCTGTGCTGTGCGCGCCACTCCTCTTGGAGCCATGGCCCCACCGGCCTTCACCAGTGCGTCTCAGCACGGCCCCCACACACGGGTCCGACTCCACTCGCCTGTGCCGCCCCACCCTGCCCCCGCCACCCTCACTGCCACTGCCCCCCCCAAACCCACTGTCAGTGCCAGCAGCAGCAGCAGTGGCGGCTGCAGCAGCGGCGGCAGCTGCTGCTCCCACAGTGCGTCCCCCCTCAGCCTCGCGCGGTGCAGAGTGCAGCGCGGGTGCTCTCACAGCGGCGGGTGGCAGCAGGCGCGGCACGAAGACCACCTGTGCGGGGGCGAGCGGGGCGAGCACAGAGGCCGTGGTGCCGTGCTCGCTGGCAGAGGGACCAGGGCTGTCCACAGGGGAGTGTGGGGTGTCAGGCGCAGCATGGAGAGGGGAGGAACCCGCAGACTCACTCTCTTGCTGCTGTCCCTTGCTGCGCCGGCTGCTGCTGCTGCTGCTGCTGCGACTGCTACTCCCAGCAGCAGCAGCAGCGGTGGTAGCAGGGGTACGGGTGCGCAGGGGCGATATGATGGACCCGCGCACTATAGCCTTCCCCCCCACCAGCGCCACAGCACCGCCTCCAGTTCCTCCCGATGATACTGCTGCAGCCAATGCCCCTTGTTCTCCTGCGTGTGCGCCTGATCCAGGTGCTGCAACGGCAGGGGAAGGATCACGATCGGAATGCACATCCTCTGTGAGGCACACCACCCGCACGCTACCTCCACTCGTGCTCCCTCCTCCTGCTGCTGCACGCTCACCTGCGCTCCCAGCTCCACCACCCACCAAAGCACTGCCCACTGCGTCTCTCTCCGCCCTGCCTGCCCCCTTTCCCCCCCCGTCGCCCGCTCCCCATCTGAGCCCCTGCCGGAACGACCCCAGGTGTGACAGCCGCGCAGCTGCTGCACCTGCGCCCCCTGCTGTGCCTCCCGCCCCCTCCGCGTGCTCTGCCTTCCTCTGCCCCGGCCCTCCCTCACTGGCGCTGCGGAACATCCTTGCTGCGCCAACCAGGGGCGCCACACCACCCCTGGCCGCCGAGCCTAATCCCGAACCAGGCAGCTTGGCTAATCTGGGCCGCACACCAGCTCCGGGCACGGAGCTAACACGCTGAACAGGCTCGGGAGGAGAGGCGGTGGGCACAAGGGTGATGTGTGCGGTGAGGGGTTGATCAAGACCGGCAACGGAAGGAGGGCGTGAGTGGCCGTCCAACCAGCGCTCTGCATCCGGTGCTCCCCATGCCCATGCCGCCACCACCGCACCCTCCCCTGCCACCACACCATCCCCTCCGTCTGCATTGCCAGTACCGCTCACCCCACCTCCTCTGCTGCTGCTCGTTGCGGAATTCCCAAGTTCCCCCGCTCCTGTGCCCCCATTGTGCAGCAAGGGCAGCGGAGTAGGCACGTGCTGCAGGGACTTGCTGTGACGGTGCCCCCTCACCTGCCCCCTGCCTGCCGACTCCTCGCCATGCACACCACCGCCCCGATCACGCTCCCCTGCTCCCGCGCTCCTCCGCCCGTCACCCGGCCTATCTGCGTCCGAGGCCCCTGCGTGTGGCGCTGTGCGTGTGACGGGTGGGCGGGAGGGCAGGGCGGCGGAGACGGAGCGGGACTTGGGCATGCGCAGCAGGGCTGCTGCTGGGCCCGCACCGCCACCACCACCACGCTGCAACTCGCCACTCCAATTCCTGCCATCAATGCTGTCAGCAGCAGCAGCAGCAGCAGCAATGGCACTAACGCTGCGGCGCCCCACTGCGTCTGAAAAGGCTTCGTGCGTGCCGTCAGGTGCGGCTGGGTCCTCTTTTCCCCCACCAGCCCCTGAGCTGCTCGCGGTGCTCTGCACACAGCCACTGCCACTGCCACTGCCACTGCCACTGCCACTGCCACTGCCACTGCCACTCACCATCCCCCCCTCCGCTGCCCCGGGCCTAGCCTCGGAAGTACCTTCGGAAGAGTCAGGTTCGGAAGCTGGGTTGGTAATGGCGGTGACGGACAAGGAGCGGAAGCCCCACGGCCCCGCTCTGCCCCTCAGCCCGGGTTTTTTCTCTGGAAGCGCTGCTCTCCTCGCATCTGCGCCACCATCCTCCGCGCCCCCGTTCAAACCCCCGCTACTTCTGCTGCTCTCAGCGCTCGCTGCAGCGTGTTCTATCCCCGCCTCCGAACGCTCTTCCTCCTCCGCCTCCCCGGAATCCCCCTCCCCCTGCCCCTCCGCATGCCGCCATTGCTCCTTGAGCCGCCGCCATCGCTTCGAGGCGGACGGAGCCAGCGCCGCGGCGGACGCGCCGCTTACGGCGGACGCCTTTCCGCCGAGCCACGCACGTCCGCGGCTGCCGGGGGCGCCGAAGCACGTGACGGAGATTTCGCCGTCATCCTCGGCGCGCATGGTGGCGTGGTCGGCGGGATCAGCTCCTGCTGCTGCTGCCGCCGCCGCAATCTCTTCCGCTGCGCTGACTGACGCGGATCGCCAGTGGTGACGTGGCCGCGGCGGACGGAGAGGGCTCACGGAGGGCGGCTGCAACGCGCGGTGCGACGGGTGTGGCGGCGGAGGGGCGTCGCGGTAGGGTGAGTGTGCGCGCTGGTGGGCGTGCGCGCGGCGCTCCTCCGCGGGAGGTGGATGGTTGGCCGCATTCTTGGCCTTGTCGGGTTCGCGGAGGGGCGGTTGGGGGCAGGCCGCAATTCCCGCGGAAGGCTGCGGGGCGACTTCAGAGGCCGCCGCGGTGTCTTGCATGGCGCTGCGCTGTATTGACGGCTCGTGTATTGACGGTGGTGCCGGCACTTATGACGCGTCGTTGCTACGGTTGGTCCCGAATTCTTGTATGAGAGGCTCGGCAATCTCGCCCCTGAGATTTTACCTTCCACAAGGATTTGAGAAAACAGAAGCGAGAGTTTCGAAAATAGTGAGGAAGGGAAGGCACGCTGGGTGGGGTTGCGCAACTGGGAGAATTGGTGCATTTGCCCTGTTGTGCGTGCAGTGAATAGTCAAACTGTACAGGCGGACTCGTGGGCCAGGTGCGATGGGTCTGTCTGAGGCATAGAAGGCTTGTTAGGAGCAGAGGACGAGGTTGCTCCACTGGGTTTACCCTTTTTGGGGTCAGTGGCAGGCGCAGTGGAGGTCAGTAGACAGTGGGGCAAGGAGCAGTAGACGGTGGGGTGGTGTGATTCTGAGCGAAGCTTGAGGGGCGTGCTCGCTGGGCGCTGGGGAGGACAAAGCAGTCGTGGAGGGGTGTGCTCGCTGGGCACAAATTCCGCCAAACGCCTGGTTCCCCTCTTCGGACAACAACTCTTCAACCAGCTGTGCCACACCAATGATACGACGGCCAAAACTTGGCAAGGGAACAGAGCAGGATAAGCGAGGTAAAAAATATGGCTGCGAAAGTGGGCGAAACTGGGCGGATAGTGCTCGCGAAGGCATTGGCATGGCGAAGCGATGATGAGGTGGGGGCGGGTGGTCCGTGGCTCCAACTTGTGACCACAGGCTTGTGATCAACAACCGATGCGTCTTAAAAGGAGGATGCGCTTCGACAAACTTCTTTTTCGACCAGATTGTCCAATGAGATGCTTTTGCTGCCTACATTCCACTTTACAGAAATGTCTTATATTCTTGGCAAATCCCTGACGAAGTTGATGGAATCACACAAGAAAACGTTTTTGAAATGTATGTACGGGAGATCAGTAGAGGTTGTGATTGTAGACATTTTACATGTGTACAATAGAAGGTGCATTTCTGATGGGGAAAATATGCCATTCGTAACCATCATGGTACTCGAGAACACTTTTGGTAAAAAAAAAAAAAGAGTACGGTCACTGCAAAGGGTGTTTTCACGCGACTGGTAAAACGTTTCACGGAGTCAGTCACTATCAACTGGTAAAGAAAAACGCGAATGGTCACAGATGAAACTCCCGCCCAAAAAATATAATACCCAAAACGAACCTGGATGTTTTTTCGGATGAATCAACCCTAAACACAATTCGCCAGGTGTTTAGGGTTGATCCGTTCCCAAACCACATCCGATTCCGATTGGGTTTTACTTTTTTTTCTGAAGTTAGATGATTGGTTGAACGCGAGCGGGAATTTTGTGGAGTTTCAAGAAGTTTTGGCGGGAATTACATGTGTGACCATTCGCGTGATTTTTTACCTGTTGTTAGTGACTGAATCCGTGACCCCACTTACAAAACCCGTCAGCAAACCCGATACAGTGATCGTACGCGGTACTTTTTTACCATTCACGTTATCGAGTCCCATGATGGTTACTTGTCACATATTTTCCCTTTCTGATGCTCGGAAAGAGGGATTGGGCAGAAAAATGGCCAGCATGCGTTCACATATGGCATTGGGGTTTGCCATGGCACATGCTTTTGCCCCATCTGCCGCCCTCTTGCTCAAGGGACGACGGAATCAACGAAAGTCGGGTTACCTCTAATCATGTCTCCTCTCCAGCGGTGCAGTGCGGTGCAGTGCAGTTGAGGTAGTTCCTCTGTGCTGGGTGGTCAGGAAATCCCACGATTGCTACAGTTTGCTGGTTTCTCGCGCCCAACCTGACCCCGCACACTCACCCCACACGCCTACCGGCCTCTCTGCGTCAGCGCACTGCCTGCGAGCCGCTAGATCGGACGGCTGCGCGCATCGAACAGGGCAAGGATGAACGACTTATTAGGGGTACGTGTCAGCCGACGGTGAAGCGTTGCGTGCGCTCTGTCTAAACCTTCGCACCGATGCAGTGACGCCACTCGCGCGCGTGCGTGCGTCGGCCTGACCTGACGAGCTCGTGTGTGGTTGCGTGTGGTGGGTGGCAGGACGTGCCGTCGCCGCGGTATGGCGAGGCGGCGGAGCAGGAGGAGATGGACATGGAGACGGGGCTCATGGAGAGCGCCGGCACGGACCCCAAGATGCAGCTCTTCTTCGACGAGGTGCGCCCGCCGCCGCCGCTGCCGCTGCCCTCGTCGCTCGTCTCGTCTCGCCTCGCCTCGCCTCCCTCGCTTTGCCTCCTCGTTTCCTTCCTTTTCGTTTCGTCCTGCGCGTGTCACTCACGGGCGCGCGCTGATTTGAGCGGCGTGTGCGGTGTGTGCGCGGTGCGTGCGAGCAGGTGAACGACATCAAGAACAACATGGAGCATATTCGACACCGCCTTCACAGCTTGCAGGTGCGTGCCGCGCCGCCTCCCTCTCCGCCTCGCGCCGCCTCTCGCGCCTGCGGTGTCTGCATTGCGCGCCGCATTGTCCGCCATCTCGCACTTGCGCGCCGTCGCCACGCGCAATGCGTGCGTGCCGTTAGTGCCTCTGACCCCGTGGGTGTGTTCTGTGCTCGTGCTGCCTTGTGCGCGTGTGGCGTGTGGCGCGTGGCACCTGTCGTGTGGCGTGTGCGATGTGGGCTTACGAGCAGGAGGCGAACGAGGAGAGCAAGCTAGTAACGCGAGCGCCAGCCATGAAAGGTGCGCCGTCTCCCTTGCACTTGCTTGCATTTTCGCTCTATCCCCTCCCTCCCCGTCCCCTCCCCCCTTCCCCCCAACCCCCCACTTCGTGCACACACTTTCCTGCCTCCCCACCATGTGTCAGTGTGTCGCCCCTCCCCCGCCTCCTTGCTCCTGCTTGACGTCATCTGCCACCCTTTCCTCGCCTTCACTTCACACCTCCTCTATCTCTACCTTCCCCCCACTTCCTTCCCCCCTCCCTTCCTCCCCCTTCCCTTTCCCCTCCACGTCCTCTCCCTCCACACGGAGCACGGCAGCGTTGAAGGAGCGAATGGAGGCGGACATAGACGATGTGCTCAAGGTGGCGCAGGCCATCAAGCGCCAGATCGAGGCCCTCGATCGAGCGGTCAGTGCCGCCCTGCCCTGCTGCCGCCCCACTGCCTTGCCGCCCTGCTGCCGTTGCCTTCCCCACCACACCGCTGCTGCTTGGCGCGGCCACGCGCGTCCTGCCACGGCCTTGGCTGTATTAGGTGGCCCCGGGTGGCAGTGGTACCGGCGAAGACTTACGCAAATTATCGCAGTCACAAGCGACTCCGCGAACTTGACGGTACTAGGTGGCCCCGTGTGGCAGTGGCAGTGGTGCTCAGAGTTGTGGGGCGTGGCGTCATGACCTCTGCACTGACTCACTGCCACTGCCGCACACCTATCCTCTTGCACCTCTTTCCCAACCCAACCAACCCCACCTCCCCCTCTGCCCATGTCATTCGTGAAACGTGGGACCCGGAATCACTTGGGGTTATTGGCGTGGCATGGCATGGTGGCAGAACTTGGAGAGCAGGAAGACGCCCGGGTGTGAGGAGGGCACGGGCACGGACCGCACTCGCATGTCCATCACCACGTGCGTGCTCTCCCCTCTTTCACCCCTCCCTCCCCGCCATTGTCCCGCTCTTCTCTCCCTCCCCCCTGGGGGCCCCCGTCTCACTCTCATTCTCACATCACAATCCCTCTAGCCATCTCCTCGCCATTTCTCTAGCCGTCGCTCTTGCCATGTCCATCGCCCTACCTTCATGTACTGACTCACTCTCGTTCGTCTTGCATTGCCAGCAGTACCTTGTCCGCCTCCCGCTCCCACCCTCTTTTTGATGAGCTCTGTCTCGCCAACATGCTGTCTGTCACACACACACTCACACCTCCATGCCTGCTCCCATGCCTGCCTGCCTGCCTGTCGCCTCGCCCCTACTATCGCGGGGTGCTACTCAAGCAGTGCTTGTGCGCACCGCCACACCACACCACGACTCTCCCTGTGCCCTGCCCCCACTGCCTGCTGGCCCATGCTCATGTTCACTCACACTCTCGCGCGTGACTCTCTCATTTCCCCCATGCGTGGGATGTGGGTGGGATGGGTACGGGTTGGGAGATTGCGGGTGCGGTGGATGGGGCCTGTATGAGTGTTGTGCTGGGCTGGCCTGGATGTATGATTTGCACACACGTGGTGGCGTGCATGCATATTCATGGGTGGTGCGGGGGTATGGGTGCGTGCGTGGGCATGTGCGTGCATGGCGTGCATGGGTGCATGGTTGAATGCAGGACGATGAAGAGGAAGCTCAAGGAGCTGATGAACGAGTTCCAGGTGACCACTGCGTGCCATCCGCCGTGCTCTCACTGCACGCGCATGCCATTGCCCTGCCCACACTGCTGTTGGTTCTTGAGAACCCGCCTGCTTGCAGCACTCCTGTGCCACACTGCTCCTTTGCCCGTCCGCCGCTCACCTCTGCCTTTCCCCACACATCTTGCGCACCCATACTGCATTCCACCCGTGCGTGAGTTGGTGTGGTGCAGCTGCCGCCCTTGCCCCTCTGTGCCTATTGATTGTCATGTAGCACCCTGTGTTGCCATGGGCCATGCTCCCCTCGTGCCTCCTTCAACCTGCCACGCACATTCCCCCACTGTCCCTGCCTTGACGCCCTGCCTTTTTACTCATTCCCTCCCGCCTCTCCCCCCTTCCTCCCCCCTCCCTCCCCCCGCCCTATCCCTTCCTCCCCTCTCCGTCCCCCTCGCGCCCCTCTCCCCCGCCCGTCGCCCTCTCCTTGCTCGCGGTGCACCCATGTGTGTGCATGCCATGCCGTGCACTGCACACACCAGGACCTGCGCAGCAAGTTCCAGAGCGAGTACCGGGAGGTGGTGGAGCGCCGCTACTATACAGGTCACTCACTGCCACCCACCACTCCCCTCCACTCTCCTCTTCACTCCACTGCACTCCACTGCACTGCACTCCATGCCCACTGGGCCTGGGGCTCGGTGGCTCAGGGGGCAAGGGAAT